ATGATCAATATTTTCCTTCCAAGGTTTGACCACATGCCACAAATCAAACTTACCCTAACTTGAAGACTTGAACACAAAGCAATTAAAGAGAATCCAAAGTGCCACCCCTTTGTGGCACATGTGTGCCCCCCCCCTACCCACATGCCACATGGTGGGCCCATGAAATTTTATAAAAAAGTTTTAAAATTAAATAAAAAGAATTAATATATATTTGATTTTTTACAATTTTGTAAAATCAATAACTGTATTTTTATAAGTCCAAAATTCATAATTAAAATATTGAGAGATTCATAAAAATTCAAATAATAAAACTAAAATCATTTCAATAATAAAATGAATACAATTAAATTAATATGATGGGAATATGATCCATATGGTTTTAGAAATTCAATCTGTAATAATGGGGTACTCCACCTTCAACTGTAGACTACTGACCACACTAGCTTTATCAAACGGACCCAGTGTTTCCCATGACCCACAGTCCAAGCAGGGGCTCATTAGCGGGTCACCAAAGTTAGGTCGATGAATCAAGAAGTTGCAATCCCGGTCTGTGGATTACAGGTCCTCCCTTAGAGACAAGTCAAGGTCACCACGACCTGATGCAACCACAGCTCTATGGCGCATAGGGGTATCTTTCGCACATGTTTACACTTCACCCAAAGGTGGATATCAGGCTTTTCCAAACAATCTATCAATATGCATGCCGTGTGATGGAATATGGATGAGGTTTTGGCCCCCGTCTCAAGAGGCATACCATCACACACAATAGTCACACAGTCCTTCGGCTCTCTCATCTAGGCATAAGCTCCGACCTCATCAAGGGCTAACCCAAAACCCCCATCGGTAAATTCTTTATGCACAGGTACCTTGGGTTTTCCAACTGACTGGCTTAGATCGATAAGCACTGCCCGCTATAAGCAAACATTATTCCTTTAGTATGGTCCTCGAGGGTCCACACTCTCACCGAGTTTATGTTTTACAATGATAAAAGTATTTCAATACAAACTCATAAGGCCTTTAAAAGCCACATAACACCCTCAATTATAACACCCTCAATTATAACACCTTCACAAAAAAAAAAAAAAAAGGGAAAGACAGAGAGAAAGAGATCTTAAGCTCCATCCATCCATCCATATTTGTTCTTCTTTGCAGCCAAATAGAAAGGATGATATTTCTTTGGCATTCTGGTAAGAAGAAATTTAGCAAAGCAAAGAAGGCTTCTAGAAAAACCTAATTTATGAGAAATCCCATATTTGGCTCTACTAAGTTGAAAATCAGGTTTTGGAAATTTGTTGTTAAACCAGTTTAATAATAATAATAATAATAATAATAATAATAATAATAATAATAATAATAATAACAATATTATAGTAAATTAGTTCATATCATCATAAAGATATATTATAGTAATATTATAATAAATGTTATTATAATATGTTATAATAAATTATAATAACAAATTATAAGAACAAATTATAATAGACATTACAATAAATTATTATAACATAATATTGTAATAAAAACATAATAGTATTATATGTCACTATTATGGTGCAATATAATAACATATTATTATATAATAATAATCATCATCATCATAGCCTTTTTCTAATTATTTGGGATCGGCTACATGAATCCTGGTCCACCAATCTGTTCTGTTAAATGTCATACCCTCAGTGAGGCCATAAGTTCTTATATCTTTTCGAACTACTTCCAACCACGTCCTTTTAGGCCTACTTTTATCCTTTTTATAGATAGCATTATATCTAAAATACTGTATATTTGAATACCATGTTTTGTTGTGCTTTATCATGCAAAACTATGGTGCTTATAGTATATTAGGATATTTCCTTGTGATTTATTTTGCAAAATCCTAGTTCATTAGACATGTCCTTGATGGTGATCTGCATTAGACGTTTTGTTGGTTATCAAATGCCCACTACTGAAGATAGGTCAAAAATTAAACAGAGGGTAGTTCTATTGTTTGGCAGTAATTTTGCTTATGTGAGAAACAGGTCATGATTCATGAATCCATTTGGTTTTTTACTAGGAGCATATGTTTTTAAGATTCATTCTAGGGTGCATTTCTTCAAGGAATTGTGCCTCTAATTCTCTTGTAGCACTCAATACTTTTTCCTTTAGACCAGAATGAGGTTTTGACAGAGCATTCCTCCATTGACTGTACAAACTGACAAGTACTGTGAGTTCCTTCTTTTCAATAAAAAGGAATCCTTATTTTTATGGTTTGAAGAATTCAGTGGAGTTGGATGATCCCTCATGCCCTGATTATTTTCTCAAGTTGGAGAGAAAAATGTAGAAAAACTTTTGCATTATTTTCATCTTTAAAATTTATGCAGTCTTTCAAGGGCAGGCAGATAAGGGTTTGATCATGCAAACAATTTTAGTAAGTGTTTCTTAAAACAACTTGGCTCAGCGTCTGAAGTTGCTAGGCCTTCTTTGCTCCTGGACAAGATGTTATTATAGGAACCATGGCTGGGAACAAATCCCATGGTAATATGTGGTTGTGTCTAAAGTGCACCTTTTGAGTAGTTGCTCAAGTTGTATCAATATATCTTATTCTGAATTAGGAATCGATAGTAACATTATCTTGGGCAATGTTTTAAAGTAAGGATTTCAGTTAGGACCTGATGGTGTCTCAAGTTTTAGTCAGGCAGCTCAACTTGGCTGTCTATTGGAATCTTAAAAGCGCAACATTAAATTATGGGAATAGATGAGATTTGACAGGTTCCTTCCTATGGTTTTGGTTCTAGACTCGGCAGCCTGTTGAGTTCGAGTAACTCGGGCAAGTTTGAGTCGGACTCATTGAGTTTTGGATCACAGATCTTAGGTGCTACTATTGGATACATTCTCCCTATTCCTCTCTACATCTAGCTTGGTTTATAATGTCTTCATGCAACTAGTTAGGATCTAGAAATATGTGATACACTTTTTATTTGGGTTGTCATTTTTGAGCTACTTTTTAGTCACAATCATCAAACATTCCCATATCCATTTTCTGTTATGATCATATGAAAATCTGCTTAAATAATGTCATCTGCCATTTACTTACCGAAGTTCCTATCCATCCAATGACCTTATGTTGCGCTTTAATGATGAAAGATCATTTATCTAATGTGGGTCTTGTTCTATGGAATTGTAAAGTATTCTTAATTATGGATTTCACATTATGTTGTGTCTGAATTTCCTCCTAAAATGTGCGTTTGCAGTAAGATTATGTGTAAAACAATAATGTTAAATCTAACAAGGAAGCAGAACTGTGAACATAATATTTTGGCCCTTGCACAAAGATCCATGTCATGAATCTATTTAGTTTTCAATTCGGTGGAGCACCGTACATCTTGTCTGTTTCTGAGATTGATTCTAGGGGCCTTTTTTGATTAATTCGTCCTCATTTCAGTTATCATTAGAGATTGTAACAAAGGCCATTCCTCTACTGATAGCACAAATAAAAAGGTGACGTGAGTCTCCTCATAGTTTGAAGGAGAAAGCTGAGATGTACTTTCTTCAGATTTGGAGAGAAGCTATGGAAACTTTTGCATTGTTCCATTTGAGAAAGGAGAGATAATAACTTGCACTGCACAACTCAACAAGCCCTTTCGATGTGCAAGGCGTGGGGTGACCTAAAACCTTTCCCAAGCAATTCCTCACATCTCCAAAACAGTTACTGAACTATCTGTTTAGGAAACTCTTAAGACTTCCATTTTTTTTTACTGCGGGATAGTTAAGGAAAATGATCATTTAGCTTAGTCTTAAATTGCTTGCTTTTTCTTGTTTTTTTCTTTTTTTTTGCTGATGGGTTGGGAAACCAGGGACAACTGTTCTACCTGAAACTAAGTAGGTATATGTCCTAGATGAATTGTTTGCAAGGCCGACAGCCACTTTGAGTAGCACATGTTTGTTTCAACAGTTAACTTTGCTTTGTGTGTTGCTAGGCCTTCTTGCTCATAGACAAGAGGACCAAATTGGTGCATGGAGAATTGGTACCTCGTTGGCCGGGAACAATAACATGTCCATCCCATGGTTATGCATGCAACTTATATTGTGATTGAAGTGGCCCTCATGATAATTTCCGGAAATGTAATCAACATCGAATATGATGACAAATTTGGAATCAATAATGACACCACCTCAAATGCTAGTATTGGAAAATTTCTCCCCCCCTCTCCCATTACTTCAAAAACACTTGCAAATCCACAAGGTTATAGTCCAAAACTTTCCATCTATCACTTTTGGAATCTTAAAAGTTACATCGATCAATATTGGTAGATACTAGTTTATGCCATTGATGATGGCAACTATGGCAAAAGGATATTAGGAAATGTAATTCTCCCATTTCCACATAGTATAAACTCTTGATGTGTATATCTAGCATAATGTACCCTAACTCTTGTATATGTCTAGTATAATGCACTCTTTCGAACGAAAAGAGCAAAATTTTCTGGGGAACCGAAGTATGTTGAGGAGCTTTGGCCCCTAACTCTTGTATCTTTCTGAAGGTAGTGATTCTCCAAAGAGGAAAGATTTAAAGAAAGCAAGAGAGCTGTTTGGCTTGAAGACAGGCACTGCATGACCAGCCCCCTTGAATGTTGCAAAAGTCAAGCCATCGTATTCTTGTACCCATCCACTCACCTGATCCATAACAAATCTAATGAAGTGAATTACATGTTGCTGAGTTTCTGTTACATCATGCTATGTTACATGTTTCAAACATACTATGCTGTGCTCTATTTATTCTACTATATTCTATGGTTTAAGTATCAACAAAATTCTTCCATTTCTTTTTTGTGAGAAATATTCTTCCATGTTTTCTGTTTTATGTTTCAATTAAATTCTACAATTTCTATATTTTAAAAAATTTGAGGGTAATGTTCCAGCAGCCGGCATTTTGCCTACCATTGGACAGGAGGGCAGGGGATCCACAAAACCTTGAGGTAATATGCTTGGATATTGATCAGTGACTCCACATGCCATATCTATATTTTGAGGGTAACGTTCCAGTGGCTGGCATCATGCCTACCATTGGATAGGAGGGTAGGGGATCAACAAAACCTCGAGGTAACATGGAAGAATATTAATCAGTGGCTCCACATGTTGATCGCCAGGGATTCACTTAACCCACCCTGATCCAATGGTGTGTAAGGGCTATCACACCATGCTATGTTGGTGAGTCTCGTACCCTGATTAATGTACATATTTTACTCTTCTAATTGTTTGTACACATTACAAATGGGAAAGTGAGTAATAGTACTCGTGTAATTCTCTTGGTGTGAAACTATAATCAAAGGGAAGAAAGGACATTTTTTGTCTACAAAATTTTTTTTCTGAGAGTTCATGATGTACAACTGTAGCCCAATATGCACATCTTCATTTTAATGGAGGATATCTGTGGAAAGAATGTAAAACCCTAGTCACTATTAATTTTGGAAAGGTATTTGTTAATTATTATTAACTGGCACATGGTCAAATATGTATCTCAGGGCCATGTAAAAGATTCAAAATAATCTCATTTGATAAATGAAAAGTACTTATGACCAATTTTTATTTACTTATCTAGTGATGGATCTAAGCTTGTTATTATATCTATGGTGATTTGGTGTTAGAGCCAGACATTACGATGATAAAAGTAGCCCTGCAGTTTTGTGTTTCATATGCACACCATGACACTTGACCTTCAAAAAGACAACTAATTGCAATATTTCCTCCTGTGAAGTTGAGTGAGCAGCATCACTTTAGGATTGTCATGCAATATGGCTGAGGAATTCATGTACCGAGTTTCATGTGGCATCTCTAAAAACATTTTGTTTGCTTTGTCTTGGATATTTCTGGTAAGGATGTTTTGGTACTTTGCATGACTTCTTTCTGTGGAAGAATGTTCTTTGAGTTTTTTGTTGTGCACGCTTATTCATATTCATTAATTTGTGTTTTAGTTTATTAGGTGTTAATGTCATTTCCCTGAAGGTTCTTAGGTTAGTATATCTTCTAATCTTGAATTTGTATTGGAAAGACAGTAGGTCATGTAATTTACTATATTTGTTTAGTTTATGAGGTCTGGAAATTTTATTGTCATTTCCTAGAATGTTCTTTTGGGTTTAATGTATTGGGGTTGTAAACAATGGGACCATTTAACTTTAGTACATGGAGGTTACAATTACTTGCAATCATCCGAGATAAAATTTAATAGCTTGGGTGCATCACAAAGTTAAAAAAAATTTTGGTTGAATTATGAGTTTGGTCAATGGAATAAATGCAGCCACCCAATTTCACTTCCAAAGGTCAAGATTAATTATGACCACCTTGTACCAAAAGGTAAATAGTCTTGTTATATACTTTTCCTAATGGATTTTATGAAAGTGTGATTTTAGCTATGCGATTGTAGTAAATGTAGCTCAGGATCACTTTTTAGAATTGCAAGAGAAGAATACATTGTTGCTTCAGGATTGTTTGTATGAAAAGATATTACAAATTCATTTGCAGATGAGTAAATCATAGGGCCAAGAAAGCAGGAACTGAGGGAGCCAGGACTTCAAGGAAATAAGGAATTGCATAATGGATGTGCAATGATTTCTCTCAAAACAGGTATCGAGGTAGGGAAGTAAAATCAAATTTATGGTTGGGAATTTACTCTCAAGAATAGCTTGGAATAAATTACAAAAAGAAAAATGAGGAAAATTAAAATAAAAAATTTGTTAAAGACTAAAACAAAGAAAATGTAATTTTTGCCATATGCAAACGAATTCAAGTTTCTATTCCTTGAATTGATCATTCACTGTATCAATGGATGGATGGATGGATGCGAATTCAAGTTTCTATGCCTTGAATTGATCATTCACTGTGTCAATGGATGGATGGATGGATGGATGGATGAAGAAAAACAGAGTGAACCCATTGCAACCACAATGGTCGGTCCGTTCTCCATCGACCTCCATTCATTGATTGTGCAATGACGATCAAATGAGAAAGAGATTTTTCCATAGTCCATAGCTAGTAGTAGACTTTCCCTGTTTAGAGTGTACCTGCTTGCCATGATACCAGGGTCTCCAAGGACTTAAGGTAGGAATCCCCAGAGCATTCAAACTGTATCTAGTTGATAGTACTGGTACCCTTCCATCTGTGTCTCCACTACACAAGGATCTCATAATAACCCTATTTCCTTGAAAAAATCCAAAACATTCATCCTATTTTATTAGTAAAGAAAAATATACTACACCTGTATACCCAAATTCTGAGGCCAGCTGCAATCAACTTCTTATATATGGAAAGAACTGAAGGCTTGGAATCTGCCCACCCATTGAATATTTCTTCGCTGCACCGCACCGATTTCTTAAGTCTCATTCACAAAGTCACGCTAAAGCAAGAACAAAATTCTTTTTGAGGTAAAACCAATTAAGGATTTTATCCTAAGTTGCTTAAAAGAGCCCTTTTTTAAAAAAAAATTCCCCCCTTTATACTCCACATTGTGGTTTTTTGTTTTATTTTCTTCTTTGTTTTTTTTTTTTGTTTTTTTTGGGTCTCATGGGTAATTTGGTTTTTTGGTGGTTTAATTATAGTAAAAGCATCAGTTGTGGTGATTTCACGCTGATAGAGATAATTATCCACATGGTAATTTCTGATGCGTCAGTTATGGTGATTTCATCAGTGTTGGACCACCAAGCAGATAGGGATAATTATCCAAATCAATGTTGGCAAAATCGAATCGGAACTATTAACCGATCAGACTAACCGGAACGGTTAACCAGATTAACCGGTCAAGTATATTTAAAAAAAAAAAAAAGAGTTGAAATCCCTAAAAAAAATTTAAAAAAATAAAAAAACTTTGATTAAGTATACACCATCATATTACATACATTTATCTTATAAAAAAATTTGAAACAGTTTTTTATTCAATTTAAAATTTGAATATTATGAAAATATGCAAGATAATTTATAATTTCACATAAATTCAATGGATGAAGTTACAAAGTCCAACTAACAATAGATGATGCAATAATATATGCTTTTATATTGTTTTAGTGTTGATGTTAAAAAATGTTGTTTTAATGTTGAAAAACCCTTTAATTCGGTTTAAAATTGGGTTTGATAGCTTATTTTTGTGTAGCATGATGTTTCCAATTTTTCGAAAGATTGTGAGTCAAGGTAGTAAGAGAGAGCACCTCATTTACTTAAAGTTATCAAATGCAAGGTGTGGGTTAACGTGTTAAGGGCTGCTTCATATGGCCAAATGACATATTTAAAAAAATATGGCCAAGTCGATTTTCAAATGGGCAAATAAATAATGGCCAAACCTCATTTACTCACTAATCTTTTGAGTTTAACATGAAAAAAAAAAAATTATATAAGATGACAACTTTAAAATGCAAAATTAAGATGCATATTTTTAAAAAACAAGTTAAGTTTTTATCCATTTCAGCATGTGGAAACATGTGGGATGAGTATAACATATTTTAGTTTCTACCTCTTTTCTTCATAGAGGCCAATAAGCAGATTTAAGGACTATGAAGTTGCAACAAATGATAGATAGCTTGTAACAAATAAAAAAACAAATTAGAAGAAAATGTCACAACTAAACAAAAAGTTGAGAACACAGACATCAGTAACATACACCAAAAATAACCTTAAAAAGAAATAATTTTTTTCTCATATTCATCACAAAAAAATATTTCTATAATGTTATAT